ACTTCCGGGGGCCAGCTTAGATCCTGCTGCTCCCCTCCCCCCCAATAGGGAGCCTGTCAGCTGCTGAGAGCTTCCCCCACCTGCAGCACCCACCAGGTATTCACTTGGGCCCCTGGGTGCCCACTCTGCTTCCAGAGGGTGCTTCCTGTGTTCCCTTCTTCCTAAGTGCCTAGAGGGGACCTGGGGTGCTGTGCCCCTCTGGCATCCCTCTTGGGTGCTGGGATTTCCTCACCAAGCTTGTCCTCCGCGTGACACGCATAGGGGTTGTCCTGGTTGGCATTTGCGCCCTGCTTGGGACCTAGAGCAGCACAGTCCACGGGAGGTTGCACCGAGCTAGTTTGTGCCCCTCGGTACTGGATCCATCGCAGGGAGAGGATTCTGGCATGTACACCCCAGGTGGCTCTGGGTTGCCTGGAGGGCGCAGGCGGAGAGGCCAGAGTGGAGGTGCCCTGCCAAAGCAGCCAGAGAGGAGCCTGGCTTCTGCGCTGCCCGGCGCCCTGTCTATCACAGCCCTGTGCACTGCGCTGGCGGAGCCTGCCTGGCTACGGATTCACGGGGGGACCTGTTCCCGTCAGGAGCTGGGTGTAGCTGATGTACTTGGCTACGTTGATCCAGAATTGCTTAGAGGTGAGAATGGGTTATTTTCTGTTCCTCCTGGGATCGGATGTGGGGGAGTATGTGGTTGGGAATGGCCCAGATCCAGTAAGCAGGAGCAAGCATTGGTGCCATATACTGTACATTTAAAGGGTTTGCCAATCCCCATACTGTCTCTATTACATATTTGTACAGTGACGGCTGACATGGCTTTCCCAAATCATCATCTTTATTATGACTGACTTCATTTCCTGTCTGCTCTGCTCAAAGAACTGAACAGCTTGAGCCTTGCTTTCAGACTTTGCTCTTGAGGCAGAATTCTGCACGTTGAGCTATATGGCGGGTGTCCCAGCTCTGATATTCTGTTCTCTGCACAACTGCCTGTGGCATCAATGGCAGTTCTATGCACGTAGAGGGAGAGGTTGTTTTAAACTCTGTGCTGGGCAGAATTTTGCTCTATGTTGGCCTATAGCCAGTTGTTGAGTGAGCAGCAAGATGTTTGCATGCACTGTAACTGGGAACTACATGTTATTATTTTGATAAGACGTGCTACTTCACCCCATGTTTTTAGTGACTCTCGTTCAATGTGTTCCATTAGAAATTAAACAGAGCTTTTCGGGGCAGAGTCAGGATTTCATTCATGGTCTCTTTGGAAGTCAATAGGAATTTTGCCATTGACTTAATGTGGTCAGGATTCTGTATTTTAGTCTATATAGATATTTAGAAAAGAGGTGACTAAGGAGGGATATGATAGAAGTCTATAAAATCATGACTGGTGTAGAGACAGTGAATAGAGAAGTGTTATTTACCCCCTTCCCATACCACAAGAACTATGGATCACCCAATACAATTAATAGGCAGCAGTTTTTAAACAAACAAAAGGAAATATTTCTTCACACAATTCCCAGTCAACCTGTGGAACTTGTTGCCATGGGAGGTTGTAAAGGTTAAAAATATAACTAAATTAAAAAAAAAAATAAGTTAATGGCAAATAGGTCCATCAATGGCTATTAGCCAACATGGTTAGGGACACAACCCATGCTCCAGGTGTCCCTAAATCTCAAAGTGCCGGAAGCTGGAATTGGATGACAGGGGATGGGTCATTCAAAATTGCCCTGTTCTGTTCACTTCCTCAGAAGCATCTGGTACTGGCCACTGTCAGAGACAGGATACTAGGCCTTGGTCTCGACTCAGTATGGCCGTTCTCATGTTCTTCTGCCACAATCATCATCCTAGTATCTGAGCACCTTCCAGTAGTGCATTAAACAACATAACTGACATCTGTCACATACTGTTCCCAGGGGGAGAAGCATGTGCAGTCAAATTTCTTGCTTTGGTAGGGCTTTTAAATTTACACATTGCTCTGTATTCATGCTAGAGAAAGGAAGTAAGAGAAATGCATCAAGGTGCATTGGGAATTGGAAATACTTGGAGAGGAAGGTGGTGAGGTTTGCAGTGGTCTTTAGTTCCTGGGGGAGTTCATTCCACAGGATTTCACCCCAGGTCTTTGCGGATTTCTTTACAGTGTTCTGAGAGCTGTGTAAAGAACATCATTAGAAATTTGCACTAGGTTAAAGACAACACAGTATATGACTTACATTTTATAAAAAACAGTTGCTTCAGTTTCTTTATTAGCAAAAGTAGAGGTGGTGAAAAAATGGGGGAGAAAAATTGGCAAAAACTTCAAACTAAAAATAAAAAAATAGTAACTTTCATTCCATGTTTTTAAAAGGAACAATTTTTTCACATTGAATTTTTTTTCATGAACATTTGTATATTTTATTTACAACAAAATTGTTTTTTGGGTTTCTGTCTCTCCCCTCATTTCGCCCCTTTCCATGGTTACCCGAGGAGGCTGTGAATTCCTGTCATTGGAGAATTTTAAAAAACAGGTTACTCAAACACCTTCAGAGGCAGTCTAGGTGTATTTAATATAGTCCCAGCACAGGAGGTGGGGCTAGATGACCTTCTGAGGTCCCTTCCAGCCGTACATTTCTGACATTCTAAAACATTCAGCTTCATAAATGTGGATCCACATTATAAACTTTTTAACATTATTTGAACCCTCTGCTAAGGGTTCTGAATTTCTACAAAGTGTATGCCTCAGTGGGTTGGTAAAGGGTCACCAATGGGTCAGTTCAATATTGTTTACTGCCTACCTCATAGCTACTTAATCATCTGTGTGAAATTAATCAATGCTTCTCTAACTAGATCCTAGTGGACAAGTGTCTGTAGCACAAATGCCTCCCTTGTTGTCAGTCTTAACTGAGAGACCAAGGTCTGAATGGTCCATGGAGTCCCTCTAAGACAGGGGTCGGCAACCTTTCAGAAGTGGTGTGCCAAGTCTTCATTTATTCACTCTAATTTAAGGTTTCGCGTGCCAGTAATACATTTTAACCTTTTTAGAAGGTCTCTTTCTATAAGTCTATAATATATAACTAAACTATTGTTGTATGTAAAGTAAACAAGGTTTTTAAAATGTTTAAGAAACTTAATTTAAAATTAAATTAAAATGCAGAGCCCCCTGGACTGGTGGCCAGGATCCGGGCATTGTGAGTGCCACTGAAAATCAGCTCGCGTGCCGCCGGTTGCCTATCCCTGCTCTAAGACAAACACTTTGATGTTGGAAGTTTGCCTTGTCTCTCTGTGTTCTGCATCTGCTTTGGAGATAAATAGAAGTCTTCATTTTCAGGTCTGTCAGTTCAGCATCTTTCAACTAGCATAAATTCCTTTTAAATAAAAATCAGTCTGAAAAGCACCACTTCATATCCTTATCCATATCACATCCTTAGGATCAGCTTTGTTCTTGGCAATGGCTGCGGAAGCGGAAGGGGATGTTCTTGAGAAGGCAAGAAATACAGAAACTTTGGTGTAGTTGAGTTTTTCCTTTAATTTCCTGTTTTAATCAAGTTGCTGTCAGATGTGGTTGAGAAGTTATTCATATTAATGCGTGATTGTATCATGTTTAGAGCTAAATCTCTTTCCTCTATCGTATATCCGTTACGTCTTGCTGCATGTTTCTGCAGATTGTTTCAAAGAGATTAAATTCCAGACAACAGGTTAGAGCAACCCCTTTAACTCGGAATATTAAGTCACTTGGAGTCTTTGACTCCAGTATTTTGCCTGTTCCTCATTTTAAAGACTAGCATCCCATGTGTGTGTGTCAGTCAGTGGTTAATTTTGGAGTTGAGGCTGATCCAGCCAACCCCAAAATCCAGATCCTAATGTTGTTGCTGAGGGCTTGTTTACATGGTGTGTTAGTGTGCACCAGTGGGGTGTGACTTCTGGTCCACACCAGCATATCACGTACTAACTGGCTCGTGTGGACCCTGCTGGCTCACACTGACAGTTCCCTAGTGCACATTGACGTGGTACTGTTTGAAATAGAACTACATTAACACACACTAGGGAATTTTTAGTGCACGTCAGCAGGATCCACATGGGCCAGCTAGTGCATGACACACACCTGTGCAAATTAGAATTCACACCCCACTGGTGTGTGCTAACGCACTGTGTAAATAAGCCCTTAGGACTCACCACTAGTCAATTAGCTCTTAAGCGGCAGCACCAAGGTGAGAAGGGTACTCTGACGAGCTGGCCAGCAAGTGCAGGCTTCCAAATATGGATTTGTCCTTTCCTTGCAGACCCTCCTCTCAGTGTAGTGATCCAGTGTCAGCTAGGCCACAACTGCAAATGTGTTGCTAATAATGAAAAACTTGCTTTTTGAGATGCCTAAAGTGGGGGGAACCTACATGTCTGTTGTAAAACCATGTAATTAGTGCTAGGATTGACCTTCATAACAGAGAAATCAGAGCTGCCGTTGCCTGGTATGTGTCATTCTTTTGGGTAGAGGAACCATAAAGTGTGCTACGCAGATTTCTGAGCATCTAAAGGGGTGAGTTTTATTCAAGTACGGCACTGATTCCATTGCTTAACAATGACTTCCCCCTCCTTTTTGGAATCTTATTTGGTTAAATGTTGAGGTTCACCTTTAAAGCGTTCATCCATGACTTATTTAAGAGCCACCTTTTCCTTTGTATAAACTCACTCGCCGTGCTCCAATAGCAGCCGTATGGATAGCATGCCTGTAGCTGGGGGAACAGCTGACCTTCTAAGCTCTGGGTTTTGCTTCATGACCAGCTGCTAGGCAATTCAAAAGTGCAACAACTTCCTCACTCTGTCAAAGGCTGACATCACCTCTGTAAGGCTCACAATTCCAGCGGGCCCAAGTGGCAAATGCTTTGAGGTTGCTTTGACTGCTATGTGATAACACAGCACCTGCTGCCGTTTGTTTGGCCACTGTGCTAATTCAAGTGATTGGTTTTTAAAATCACGGCTTTAAAATTCCCCTGGCCTAGATGACATCACTTCATAAAGCCCTGGGCTGCTTCTTGGCAGGGAGGAGGTGTTTTAGGAGTTCTGAAAGTGCTTCACAATTACTAAGCTACAATATGAGAACCTGGCAGACCTTTTACAATATCACTCTATTGGGGGACTTAGGAGATGACTGTAAAACTGTGCACAGGTGAGATGTGGAAGCACAGAGAGAACATCAAAAAAATTTGCTCATGGTGCATTCATTCCTGAGATCACAGGCACACGAACCCCCTGGTGTCCAGCAACCGAATGCTGTGTACATTTGCTTTATGATGAGCTGAAGAGAAAAGTTAGGTTAAACATGGAAAGGAAGAGTATTGGGTTTCTGATTTTTAGCAGCTGCAGCTCTGTGTCCTGCATCCAATCCTTTGTTTTTATTAGGGCTGTCGATTAATCGCGTGAGTTAACTGCAATTAACTCAAAAAAATTAATTGTGATTAAAAAAATTAATCACAATTAATTGCAGTTTTAATCGCACTGTTAAACAATAGTATACCAATTGAAATGTATTAAATATTTTGAATGTTTTTCTACATTTTCTCATATATTATATTCTGTGTTGTAATTGAAATCAAAGTGTATATTATTTTTGATTACAAATATTTGCACTGTAAAAATGAAAAACAAAAGAAACGGTATTTTTCAATTCACCTCATACAAGTACTGTAGTACAATCTCTTTGTATTGAAGGTGCAACTTACAAATGTAGATTTTCGTTGTTGTTACATAACTGCACTCAAAAACAAAACAATGTAAAACTTCAGAGCCTAAAAGTCCACTCAGTCCTATTTCTTGTTCAGCCAATCGCTCAGACATACAAGTTTGTTTACCTTTGCAGGAGATAATGCTTCTTGCTTCTTGTTTACAATGTCACTTGAAAGTGAGAACAGGCATTCTCATGGCATTGTTGTAGCTGGCGTCGCAAGATATTTACCTGCCAGAGGTGCTAAAGAGTCATATGTCCCTTCATGCTTCAACCAGCATTCCAGGTGACGTGCCCATGCTGATGACGCGCGTTTAAAAAAATAATGCATTAATTAAATTTGTGACTGAACTCCTTGGAGGGAGAATTGCATCCCCCCTGCTCTGTTTTACCCGCATTCTGCCATATATTTCATGTTACAGCAGTTTCAGATGATGACCCAGCACATGTTCATTTTAGAACACTTTCACTGGAGATTTCACAAAATGCAAAGAAGGTACCAGTGTGAGATTTCTAAAGATAGCTACAGCACTCGACCCATGGTTTAAGAATCTGAAGTGCCTTCCAAAATCTGAGAGGGACCAGAAGTATGCAATCAGGCAGCAGCAGAGATTAAAAAAAAAAAAAAAGAAATACCATACAATACAGTACTGTGTAAAACATAAACTACTAAAAAAGATCTTTTAAAAAAGATTTGATATGATTTTAAAAATAAGGAAACTGTTGTTTCATTTAAATTAAGATGGTTAAAAGTAGCATTTTTCTTCAGCATAGTAAAGTTTCAGAGCTGTATTAAGTCAATGTTCATTTGTAAACTTTTGAAAGAACAACCATAATGTTTTGTTCAGTTACCAACAACCTCCATTTCCGAGGTGTTCGTAACACTGAGGTTCTACTGTATATGTTTGTGTTGTTTGTAACAAACTCTGCCCTTCTGGGGTAATTTCCATCCTAGGATCTCAGTGATTTTGGGATGATTGGCATGATTCCCATTGTGCAGATGTGGAAACTAAAGCACAGTGAGACCAAGTGACACAGTAGTACTAGGAATAGAACCCAGGGACTCACAATTCAGGTAAATGTATAGGCCCAAGTTTTATAATAGGCCGTTGGAGAATTTACCCTGGTGTAGGTGATGTGACTGCTTGACGTCTGCGGATGGAATAATACTGTGCTCAATTTGGGGACTTCACTTGTTGAATATGTTTTTATGCAGATTTATGTTGCCGTGGTGAAAGTAATATAAAACAGAAGTGACTTGCCTGTCGAGTGTCTAGTCAGCTGTGAAATTCTTGACGATATTTTCAACGTGAAAGAGACTAGACTGAAATAACTCATGTGCAAAGCCTTACATAGGGGCTCTGTGCTGTAAACAGCACCACTAACCTAGGAGGGGGGTTCCCCTGCTAAGAGAAATGAACAGCTGAGGGGAAGTCAAGCAGCCCGCCAAAAGGCATCAGAAGCAGCTTGTGACTCTCAGTTACCAAGGCCATGATTAGAGCCAGGGGCCTGGAGGTCCTGGGTTCTAACACAGGCTGTGCCAGTGACTCACCGTGTGACCGTAGGCAGTCACATCCCTTGTGCCTCCCTCAGCCCTCAATAACTATAATACTGGGTAACACACACGACTGTTGAAAAGCAGCTGCTGTATGTGCACTGATCTTTCTAAGGAAAATAAATACAAACCGTGCCTGAAGAAAGAGAACCTTGGTTCTAACTGACCTGTACTTAGTGGAGGATAAAATAATCTGCATAAAGTCTTCACAGTACAGCTAGGTTAGTTTGTACAATGTAGGCTGATGTTACCCAATATCTGAATTTGACCCTACCACTGTAGCAAGGAGGTGAGAAATCCCACAATGGTCATTCCATATTAAATCGCCTCCCTTCGAATTCATACAATGCCACAGTTAGATCCACATGAATGACCCCTTAGATCCACAAAGAGCATCATTTGGTCTCAGCTTCTGGACCGCTGCTGTAACCATGCCCTTGTTAGCTGTGAGTCACAGGCTTTTCTGATGCCCTCTGACAGGATGTTTAACTTCATCTCAAGCATTCACTTCCCCTCTGCAGGTGACTCTCCTAGTTTTATGGAGGTGGTGGTGTTTACAGGGGGTGCGAGTGGGAATCCAGTTCCGTGATCTGGGCTTTATTCTATGTAGTCTTTCACACAAGCCACATTAACACACCCCTGCCATGCTTGCCAATCTAACGTGGCAGTCCAATAACATCAGAGGGGGAGAGGAACTGTGAGATGGGCAAAGGTGAAGAGTGAAAACTTGCAGTTGACGTTTGGAAGTGAGATAGAGAACATGGTGCATGGGAGAACTCCAGGAGGGCAGATCCAGATTGCTGCTGCACGAGTCTGCAGCTCATGTAAAGTGGGAAGATCATGGTCCGGGATGGAGAGGAAGCTGGTGCTCGATGAAAGAAGAAAGGACGAAGAAAGAAAGAAAGAAAGAAAGAAAGAGAATATTCATGAGTTACTTTGAAACAAGTCTCTGGATGATTTAAAAATGTATGGGTTGTGTAACTGGGTCAGGTTTTTGTGCGCAGTGCATAGAAACCTACCCCACCCCACCCCAGGCATTTCATTGTCTGCATCATTAAAACCTTCTACAACAGGTTGCACTGTTTCAGCCGGCTATCTTTTCCACATACCCAATTGCCTATTAGATTTAAAAATGTTATTAAAGCTAATGTTAAAATTATATAATACACAGGTTGAGAAAAGAGTGTCTGTACATCTGGGTAGCGTGCTTAGACTATCCACAAATACGAAGTTTGTTTAAAAACTCATAAGATACATAATCAGCATTAACCCAAATTTAGGTGAATAAATTTAACAGTGCAGTTTAGATATTAGCATCCAAGTATTTGGGTGCATCACTCATGAAAAGTTATACAGAGAGTTGGTTGTGGAAAGCACATATATTAATGAGTGAAGATTGTCCCTCAGTAATTGAGAATTTAGGGTAGGTTATCCATTTAGAGGTGTCACGCAGCTCTGTTATGCTGAACACAATTGCTGCAGGCAGTATATAAAAATTAATGTCAATTTTCAGACTGCTAACATGTGGTTAACAGGTGATGCTTATGCAGTGTTAAATGACTGAAACCTTTTCACTTTGCTGGGGATGCTAGAAGAAGAGGGTTCATTGTCATCAACAAACAGGAGTAATTGCATCCAGCCTCTTATGTAAGCTGTTCTGTGTATTGTGCTTATCAGCATCTCTTAGCCAAAATACAAACTAAGCCACAGTGATCATTCTCTGCTACAACTAATGCTGCTGCTGCTGGACTAAAGGAGCTAACCCCCTCGTCCCATCAAATCTTAACTGGCCTTCTCCTTGTCAGCCTCAGAGGCTGAGAATTGGCACCACCCTGGAGATGGAACTGCCTTACGCCATCACCACCCCATGTTGAGTATGGTGGTGGGTGGGCTTGGGGGAACTTGCCCAGTGCTTTCCTGGCTGTACCTAGTCTGTGGACAAAAAATTAATTTCGTTCTTGTGGGCTGCCAAACCAGCACATTTCAGCGTCGTAAAACTCTCACAAAGGCAAGCTCACCAACACAAGTGACCATAGATCACTATTGGAAAAGTTAAGAGCAAACCAGAGTTTACCCTTGAAGGAATGGCCACCTCTGGGCTGCAAGGTGACCTCCGTTTCTACAGCACTACTCATGCGTCTGGACACAATGTTAGCTGTGTTACCAGGAGGCTTTATTACTAAATCAGTTTAATTTGCAGCCTCTTTTGTTATTTCCTGTTGGCTCAGCTGACTTAGATTCTTGTCTGTGTTTCCTGAGTCGGTTTCATCAGCATAATAACTGCTAGTGAAATATTTGACTGATCTGGCTGACAGTTGCAGTATATGCACTTTGGAATACTGAGGTAAATGCAACTGGCAATGTCCTGGTTTGCGCCTGTATCTCTTCTGTTTTGTCCGTGATTTTCACTAGCTTTGGAAAAACATTGTGCACAATTACAAACTCTGGGGTGATAAGCACCTCTTGAGAGGCACTGAGCACCCACACCTCGGACTGAAGTCAATAGGAATTTGATGTTATCTTGTTTGATAAGTGATCAGTCATGCCTGCTTTGGCTGAGGGACAGAAGTATGGTGTCTGGATAAAGAGTGTGAATATTTCCCCAAGTCAAGATGCCCCAAATAAAGGCCTGATAGCTGAAGGCTGATGCCTGTGCAGTCCCCTGCATGGATTCTGATGCATGTGGAAGGTTAAATGACTTGGTTCTGAAAAGCCCATCCCAGTGTCTGAATGAGCAGAGCAGCTCAAAATTCATCCTGAAACAGTGAGATTTTGAGGTTTGACACTTTGTATTCTCTCTCTCTCAGACTACTGCATGAATCCACAGACAGTCTTGTTGCTCCGGGTCATCGCTGCTTTCTGTTTCCTTGGAATAATCTGCAGCCTTTCAGCTTTCCTGCTGGATGTTTTCGGACCCAAGCATCCTGCACTGAAGATCACTCGGCGCTATGCCTTTGCTCACATTCTCACAGGTAACTGCCAGGGCTTTGCACCTCAGTGAGGCTGGTTATGTGAGGTGACGTACGAGCACCATCAACTGCAGCATGGGAAAGCTGAGTTGATATCTTACCTTGGGCCCTTGTACACCCTCAGTCAAATACACCTCAGAGCGTAGCAAACAGGAAATAGTATTGCTTTCCAAAGGGGTTTTCCTTGTGTCCCTGATCCCTGCCCTGTCAACATTCTCAGCTGCAGAGTTCATGTGCCTTTATCTTCCCCTCTGCTGTCAGCACAGAGCATTGTCAAAGTCCTAGAGGTGTCAGTCTGTGCCCTTGGCTGCAGGACTCTTGCTCCAAATTGTGCAGCTGCAGCTTGAAAAGCAGGGGTTAAATCTGTCAGAAATAGAGGCCTAGGATGAAGTTTATATTTAGTCTATTAATGGGGATGAGCTGGTATGTTTCATTTCCAGAGTGATCCCTTAGCACAGACAGAGTGAACCAAGATAACCATGGCTCCCCTTCCCCCCAAGTCAGGGGAAGAACTGCCATTGATCTTAGTAGCAGCAGGGTTGTACTCTCCACCTACTGTGTGTCGCACAGGTGCCAGCTGTGCTGTCTGCACTGTGACCAGGGTTGTTATAAATCAGCCCTGGACATGTGCCAAAGGTGTGTAACTTGCATGAACCTTCAACTTCCCTTCCCATCTGCTGGCCCTTGTCTGTGAAAGATGAGTTTAGAGATTGAACACTCTGGCCCTGATTCCCAGGCATGTTCAGCTCATCCTTAAAGCCCACATTGCCCATGATTTCGCCCAACCTATTTTGGCTTTTATCACGTCCATTTTCCCTCTTCAAGTTGACGAATCCTCCCACCATGCTATGCGGGTTATAGAAGTCAGGTTGAGGTTCCTCTGTGCATTACTGTGCAGAGACGTAGGGCTGGCCCTGAAAATCTGGCATTTCTGTTTACTTTGTGGTGGTCTCCCAGGGGGGTTCCTGTGCAGTCTCATTGATTTTTTTGTTTTGGTTTGGGTTGTTTATTTGTTAGGCCAAAAAAAAAAAAAGTAAATTCACTTCCTGCTTGGTCACTTACTTCTCTCTCTCTCTCTCTCTCTTGCATATCCTCCACTGCTGCTGGTCTCAGTTTTGCAATGTGCCACTGTGATTGGATTCTGTTACTGGGCCTCGGAGCTGATTCTTGCACAGCAGCAGCAGCACAAAAAATACCATGGATCTCAAGTCTACGTCACCTTTGCTGTCAGCTTTTACCTAGTGGCGGGAGCTGGCGGAGCCTCCATCCTCGCTACTGCTGCCAACCTGCTGCGCCACTACCCAACTGAGGAGGAGGAGCAGGCACTGGAGCTCCTGTCTGAGATGGAGGAGAATGAACCTTACCCAGCGGAGTACGAAGTGATCAACCAATTCCAGCCGCCTCCTGCTTATACGCCATAATGCTGCTTTCTCCCAGCCCCCCAAAACTAACTGCCCACCTCTTTTTGGGAATGCACTCCCTTGCCCATGGAGGCCACTCAACAGTGCCTCACTTCCCAGGCACCTTGCTCACTCTTATGCTCTTCTACCCACAAGGGAGAGGACTTGCTTTAGAGAGTCAAATGACCAGCGGTTTCTTCTTACACAGCCCCCCAAAACCTCCTTGTTTTATGGACTTTGTTTTGTGATTTTTATCTCCCACTCCCATGCACTGTATGTACCTGGCAGTGCTGAAATACTCCCTGACCAAGGTGATTTCAGCAGCTCTCAACTTCCTGTGTAATCTCAGAGACTCGTACTGTGCTGCCCCAATACTCCCACTCACCCACGTACTCACCAGCATGGTGCAGGAAATCACACCTGTCTCTGACATGCATGTGCATACCTGGAGGAGGGGTGTGTGTGGTTGGGGGCAGGGGGGTTTCATAATCTTGCATTGTGATATTCAAGATATCATTCACACTGGCCCGTATACCTACATGGAGGTGAAAGTCACACAGGTACACACACCTGCATTAGAGGTGAATTCTACAGTCTTCTGCTGTTGTCCATGCAAGCTCAGTCAAGCCTCTGTAGAGGTGTAACTTAGTGATAAGTACACCCTGGAGAGGTGTGTTCCATAGGAGCACCGTGACACCTATATATAGGTGAAACTCCCGCCACTATGAACTAGTGTGTAGAGGAGAAATTCCTTTATATCGGTAGCATACTAGGTGAAAGGTCTAGCAAATCTGCCACCGCTGCTTTTTCCACTTCCACACTCTGATTCATGCTATTGACACAAGCATTTTGCACTTTATTCTCCGAGCTCATGGCCTTCCCCCTCTCCCCCCCCCCCCTCTCCCCCCAAGATTTCTGGGGAACTGTGGAACTTGCTAGGACTAGCTGCTGTGTACCGCAACCATTAAGCGGCCCTCAGATAAGTTTGCAAATATTAAGCCAGAGGTCGGTGAAAGATGGAGCCTCCCTTTTTTTAAAAAAAAAAGCTGTGCTAATTTCAACTGTGGTACAGAGGGAGCTGTCAATCCCTGATCAGGTCCAGCTCCCGTGGCTACGGCAGCACAGTACCAGCAGGTGGATCTATGACAGCTTTTAGTCTGTTTGGTGTTTAAAAAAAAACAATCTGCTGTACAGTGACAACTACTGAAAACCTGTTCCGTGGTCTCCACCAAGATACACAGTTGGCTAGAGATTGTATGCAAATTCTGTCTTCACCCAGACTTGCTCTGGTTTTATAGCATTTTGTCCCCTTTTCTTTGAATCTAGATATTTTTCTCTCCTTTTTGCCCTTTACAAAGACCATTCTCCCAGCTGAAGAGGGCAGGCTGTGACCAATCAGCATCTTCGTCGAACAGCTCCAGGAAGCACTGTAGAGCTGCTCATGGTGCTTTATTTCCATAAGGAGCATGGACTGGGCTCCCTTCTCCCTACACATGTAGTAGTGCAGTGTGCTAGCGCCAGGCCTGCTGAGAAGGAGCCAGTAACACGCATCCACATACTTGCACTGTGCCAGCCATCATCACAATTGTAGGGACAGCATATAACACTGAAAGGGGAAACAGTTAACCACTCACTTCTCCATGGAGGGGATTGTTTTTAAAGAGGTTTTAGAAAGTGGCCTGCATGTCACTGAAATGCTGAGTTCTGTGTGGGATTTGGTCATGTCCTTCAAATGGAATAATGAGGCTTGGGAAGGAAGGTTATGTCTCCCTAGTGCTGGCTTGGAACTGATGATGCAGTGGCTTGTCTGAGTCACTTTAGTACAGGCCTACTGCAGCTTGTAATTCATATGCAGTTCCTAATGGATCCCCCTCTCTTTCTCTTTGAATGTATATCTGATATCGCAGTGTTACCAGCAATTTTGTTGAGCTCATTCCTTTCTCTCCCATATTTGCGACACTGTTGGCAACACAAAAGAGTAATCCAACATCCAGACCTCAGTTGCAAACCTGGAGTCTTCTCCTAGGAGAATGTAAGACATTCCACCCCTGGAGCCCCCTGCTTAGGGGAAAGCAGCCATAGCTTGTAAATTGATTCTGGAAAGTTATCAAGGAATCTTCTCCACTAAAAGGCTTGGAGCAGAAAGAGGAACAAATAGATAAGGCTTCTGATAAAGGCCTTTTAGAGTTTAGAAGGAACTTGGGTGGCAAAGAGGCTGCCAGTGGTAATGGTAATGGGGTCTTCTCCAGCAGGCAACCAAATGTCTCAGCTTCGCTCTTCCCTTCCGCTTCAATGGAATAGTCAGCTTAATGCCAACTGTTATACATGCAGGCAAAGAGTGTATTAGTGAGGCCCCTAGACTGTCTCCTGATGGCTGATATGGTCTTACCATTACTTGGCATCGCTGTTCCTGCTCTGATATTGAACTACATCCCATTTATGTACTGGACTCCACAGTGACCTCTGTGTCTGGTTTGGGTGGGAAATGTTCTGTGTTTCCCCCTACTGCTGTGAGAGAGGGAGTGTGTGTGTTGGACTGAAAATACTCTATGCATAAAAAAATTGTATTTCTGTAAAAATACTTTAATTATCCCCAACTAATAATTGATCCTTGGAGCTCGAGGAAATCTACATGAAATCTGGGGAAAACCTCATTCCTAGCCACTCCACGCAGATTTCTTTTCCTCCTCAAGACCTGGGAAGGGAAAGCAGAACAGGCAACACATCCATGTGCCAAAGGGACTTTGAGCCACTTTAGGAACGGTGACCACCTCTGCTTATCTGGTTTCTGCGGCTGGGACTCCACAACCAGTTTACAGATGATCCATGTATTCAGTCTTCGTGAGATCCCTTTCACACTATTAATGTCATCCACAAGGCACTGGTGGCTTATGTAAATTCAGCTCTATGTTCTGATTTTTTTCTAGAGAAAATAAAAAGGATGTAACTAGTCTCCCCTGTGAGTCCTCACTCTTTATTTCACACAAGATTAATTGTCACCGTGCTGAGGAACAAGAGAAAGAAGGGATCACTCTGATAGTAGTTGGCACTTGTCATTTGTAAGATCAGTTTAACAAGCCTCCTGACTCCTCTGTGACACAAGAAACCTTTCTATTTCAGAGAAGGGAAACGATGAAAGAGAAATTAGGTGACTTGCGCAAAATAACAGATGCAGAGCTGGAGGTAGAACTTGGCCATTCCTTGCTGCTAGTCCTGGGCTATAATCTGCAAGCGGTTGTTACTTTACATTCCATTGCTGGGACCAATCATGCTAAAATAAGGGTGATTGAATCTCATGCTTCAGGCTGTCAGCCTGCCAGGGCTCAGAAAGGGCTTCTCACTCCATGTCCATTACTGTATTACTGGCTGAGAGCCTTACCCTGGGGGGTTTTGGTAGAATGAAGCATCAAGGAGAGCCAACTGCTGGAGCCTTGATTCGACAACATGGATCAGTCACAGATTTTGCTATGGCATTTTGTGGATGAACATGGCTCTAGAACAGGGGTTCTCAAAACTTCATTGCACCGTGACCTCCTTCTGATAATAAAAATTACTACATGACCCCGGGAGGGGGGACCGAAACCTGAGCCCCATTGACCTGGAGGGGGGCCTGTAACCTGAGTCCCAACATCCAGGACTGAAATCCTCAGGCTTCGGCCTCAGGTGAAGGGGCTCGGGCTTCAGCCCTGGGCCCCAGCAAGTCTAAGCCAGCCTTGGTGACCCCATTAAAATGGGGTTGTGACCCACTTTGGGGTACTGACCCACAGTTTGAGCACCGCTGCTCTTGAAGAGAAGGAAGCTGTTTGTTCATCCTGGCTATCTGTACATTGAATACTAGTGCTGTTTGAGTTTGATCCTGCTCTCCGGGTGCAACTTTAGTGTGAGGGGACTATCAGGTGCTAAAGACGTGCAGGGCCTTATGTTTGCTGGGAGCTGTTGTACATAATGGATTGAATCTATCCCTAGGGCTGTGTAGAAAATAGTCATAGCTGTGGATACTATTAGATTTTAAATTTTATTAAAGCTAATGTTAAAATTATATAATACACAGGTTGAGAAAAGAGTGTCTGTACATCGGGGTATAGTGCTTAGATTATCCACAAATACAAAGTTTGTTTTTAAAAGTCATATGATACACATAGTGCATAATCAGCAATAACCCACATTTAGGTGAATAAATTTAAGAATAGTTTAGACATTAGCATCATGAAAAGTTGTACAGAGATTTGGTTGTGGAAAGCAAAATATATCAATGAGTGAAGATTGTTCCTCGGTAATTGAGAATTAGGATAGGTTTGTCCATTTTGAAAATATAATCCATGAGGAAAGTATTTGAGTTACTTTCCCCACTGCGCTTCTCATCGGCACTCCAGCTCATCCCCACTGGTACTGCCAATGTCTGGTGCTGTGTTCTACGTAGATGTCTCTCCACCATCTGATGGCATCCAACACCATGAGTTGCTGCATCAGCTGAATGTAGCATTGACCAATTCCGCATTCTCTCAACACTCGCTAGTTACTGGGGTCCAATGTGCCCAAGGCTCTGATGATCAGTGCGTGTCCGAACCTGGTAACCCCTAGCTCTCAAGGTTTCGGGCAGAGAGGCGTATTTCTCCACCTTTTGAGCTTGGGCATCGTGGAAGGCCAGAGTCCTGTTCTCAAAGGGCACTGTGATGTCCACCATGATGATCTTCTTCCGGTCCTCGTTGGTGATGACTTTGTCCGGTCGCAGTTGGCTGTTGGTTCCGGGAATGGTGGAGTTCACAGCAACCTTCCGTACGAGTGGCGGGATGGCTCTGACCAGGCGATCTTGGATGGTGTGTCGCAGCTGCCAGGCTCTGGAATGGGGCTTGCAGCTACACAGGACGTGGGGTAATGTCATTAGCATAGCTGCACTTCCTACATCACTTGTCCCGATTCCCGTGATGGACAGCTCCGTTCAGTGGGATGCAGTTGAGCCAGGCCCTGTGGATGAGCCTCCAGTTGGCAAATCAGGTGAAGCTGCCCCCGGGGAGGAAGTGGTTGCTGGCGTCCCACTTGCACATCATCTCTAATGCCTTGCCCTGGTCCGGCTTCCGTTTTAGGTTTTCCACATACTGGCAGCGGATGGCATCCTTCAGGGTCCTCTCCACTAAACTGCTACCTAAATGCTTGGCCTTAGCTGAAGGGTAGTAAACTACGTAAGAACGGCCATACTGGGTTAGAACAAAGGTCCATCTAGTCCAGTATCCTGTCTACCGACAGTGGCCAATGCCAGGTGCGCCAGAGGGAATGAACAGAACAGGTAATCAGCAAGTGATCTTGGATGGTGTGTTACTCATTCCCAGCTTCTGGCAAACAGAGGCTAGGGACACCATCCCTGCCCATCCTGGCTAATAGCCATTGATGGGCCTATCCTCCATGAATTTATCTAGTTCTTTTTTGAACCCTGTTATAGTCTTGGCCTTCTTCTGGCAAGGAGTTCCACAGATTGACTGTGCCTTGTGTGAAAAAATACTTCCTGTTGTTTTAAACCTGCTGCCTATTAATTTCATTGGTGACCCCTAGTCCTTGTGTTATGAGTAATTAACACTTCCTTATTTACTTTCTCCACACCAGTCATGATTTTATAGACCTCTATCATATTCCCCCTTAGTGGTCTCTTTTCCAAGCTGAAAAGTTCCAGTCTTCTTATGCTCCTCATACGGAAGCCGTTCCTTACCCCTAATCATTTTCGTTGCACTTTTCTGAACCTTTTTTGAGATGGAGCGAGCACATCTCTGCTTCAGCTAGTACCAGTGATATCCAGTGTGTGTAACTGGATCAGAATGAACAGTATTAGTCATTTCCTCTTACTATTTGCACCAGTGAATCTGGATTTGGAGATGAATAGACCATTGGACTGGGGGGAAGGGAATTTACTCTCCTTGTCTGTTCAGGCCTAGGATTTCCACAGTGGAGGCTGTCGCTGCTCCAGACACTAAGAAGGGGAGCTAGTCTTCAGCAGTGGGTTTCCTCCTCTATTCCACTTGAAGGTTTCCCCTGTTTTAAAGGGAGTGCTTTACCTTTTCATAAGAGGATTTCAGTCTTAGGTTGGTTAATGGATAGCCGCCAGCCACACATGGTCCTCTGAGTGGCAAAAAGAAGGGCAATCAGTCATCTGGTTCAGTGCTGTCACAGTCTGTGTACTTTAACCTTCCCAGAGGACTGTCCTGTCCTGGGGGAAGGAGTTCACCCTCCATTTACTTTTACTCAGAGATGATAAAACTCTGAGATGGTTTGAGGGGTGGGATTTTGGACTCCCAATTAGTTGTCCCATTTCATAATGGCTTAATTTTCATACTGTTCCTTTCAGTGCTGACATACACACTGTGAATCACTCCACTGCCATTGCTATGCAGCCACTTCTGGGATGGCATAAGACAGCTATCTAATAGTGTGCACCAAAACCATAGGCACATGGCTGCAGTGACTAAGACAACTAGCAGGCAAAAGGAATTGGTCCGTTGAGTTTGCCTACAGAGAAAGGCAGACGTGTGATTTTTCTAGCACTTTGACAGGTACCACAGCAGGAAAAATCTACAATGAGAGGAAAAGGGTGTATTGCCGTCTCTGCCACTAACTAGGGTGACCAGATGTCCCATTTGGGGGGACTTTTTCTTATATAGGCACCTATACTCCCCACCCAGTCCCGTTTTTTCACAGTTGCTATCTGGTAACCCTACCACTAGCTCTTCTTCTACCTGCCTCTGTGGGTGTCAGGCCCAGGCAGGGATCCTGATCCTGGAGGCCTCCTCCCTGATCCTGGTCTTGACTTGCTAGGAAAGCAGTCTGGATGTGCCCGCTGAAGAAAGCCAGGCAGGAGGAACCATCTAGCCGGACCAATGTCTGCTGGTGGAGTCTCTCAGGAGACAGACTAGAGACTTGTAGGAGAAGATGGCTCAGCTGCAAAGCATCCAGGACCACGAGGACTTCAGTGACAGGATGCATACGGAGACATCTGGGCTTGAGGAAGCGAGCCAGTGAGAGAGGACTGCAGCAGCACGAGGGGAGGGAGAAGAACCCCCAGCTGCTCAGGAGGGGACTGGCTGCTGGCCACCTGGGGCAGTGGTGTTTGGAGATGCTCTTCTGTGGGGATGGAAGCATGCCAGCCTGGCCTGACCTGGAGATGTGCTGCCTGCCTAGAACCCAAATTGGACATAGCTCAGTGGTTTGAGCATTGGCCAGCTAAACCCAGGGTTATGAGTTCAATCCTTGAGGGGGCCATTTAGGGATGTGGGCCAAAAATAATGGATGATTTAGTTGGGGATTGGTCCTGCTTTGAGCAGAGGGTTGGACTCGATGACCTCCTGAGGTCCCTTCCAACCCTGATATTCTATGAGTCTATGACACATAAGCAAAAGCTGGCTGATTTTTCAGCCACTCTGGCCACTGCTCGCCCCCCTGGGGCCTGGCTCCATAGCTCAGGGGGTTGAAGGTCACCCACAGGGGCACCCCGGCGCAGGCAGCTCCCTGGCCAGCCCACGAGCTGCCGCGCAGGACCCCTGCGTCTCCAAGGCGCCCGCGCTGGCTCACAAGGCGGGGCGGCGCCCTCTAGCCTGCTAGGCGGGGGAGGGGCTGGCGCGTGCGCCACAGACAGACGGCGCCGCGCACCAATGGGCGGCCAGGGCCGGCCGGCGGGAAGCCAATGGGGCGGGCGGGCAGGCCCACGTGGGAGGGGTGGGCGGCGCGCGGTAGCGGTTAACCTCTCGGTAGGCGGCGGGGCCGAGGCCGGCTCTGAGGCGGTAGGTGCGGGGGCGGGTTCCTGCCCGGGCGGGGCTTGGCGGCGGCGGGGCGCCTTGGTAACGGCGGCCGGACGTGGCCGGCCGGCTCGTGGGGCCCGCGCGGAGCCGGGGAGGCCGCATGGTAACGGGCTCTGCTCTCTCGCGCTAGGACGCCGCGCGGCTCGGCCGGGATGTTCCACCCGCTGCAGTG